TATCAGGTCCCAGAAAATGGCACAGCTATTTTAAGAAGGTGTAGATAGATACAGTAAGCACACTTATGCTCTCTGGTGAAGCCACTGCACATCCTCGCCAACATCTAGTGGCATATACTTAACGCAAGAGGAATGAATCATAACTACTCCAGAGATATTATCTAACTGATTTGGTTATATTAGTGAAATTCAATTGTTAAATTGTCACATGCATTACAGCTAAGCCAAAAGCTCACATTTTTCCCGCTCTGCCTGCAAAGAGGAAGAAAAGCTTGGAGCATCCCTGACAGAGATTGGGTGCTGCATCTACAAGGTAAAACCAAAGCCTTGGAAAGAGTTTATTCCAGCTTTTATATATTTGATTTTATACTGCTTTAATTCAATTCAAAACAAGTGTGTGACCTGTTCATTCAGCAGTTCATCTGATGACTCTTAATTACAGTAATTAGTAACAGCTTTAAAATATTTTAGCCATTTGTGTGTTTTATCCATATTAAATGAGTGCATAAATAATGGGGAAACAAGTCTCTGAACATTCACCAATCATAACATAGATCTGTCTGCTTGTCTGTCTGTCTAACTTCTTAACTTCCCATCTCCCTTACACAGGAGCTCTGGGCGATGTAAATCTCATCAATAGAATAAAACATGAAAAACTGAATAATTTAAGATTAATAATTTTAAAAATGTAAAACAATATAACATATCAAGCTATTTGTGCTTACTATAGGTCATCAGTTATCTGAATAAAGGAAGCAGGACGTTTCCAACCTGTTAAAAAAAAAATCTAGGTGAAAAAGAATTTTTCATATGGAATATTTGTCCTATCAAAGGTGATGCATTTCTAAAAGGTTTCAGTTTGCTTATAGCTAGATTGTACTGTTTAGCACAAATTCCAAGTTTTCTGACATCAGGGTGATGACAAAAATAAAACTTACTTGAAATGTTAGTGATTTGTGGCATTGCAAAATTTGGGAATTCAAGCCTTATTGACACTGTGATAATTAGATGAGTAGGTTTTAAAATCATTATAGAAATAATACAGCTTTCAAATGAGGTATTTGCATATTCTTGTTATTTACTGCTTTGCTGTTTCTCATTATGATATGATGAATTATTGTTGGAGCCAGGTCTTCCCTAATTTAGATAACTCCCTTGAACTTGTCACCATGAGAATTTTTCTTTTCTGAATTCTTTCCCTGAAGTAAGATAGTACTTCCTTTTAGAACGTTTCAAGTAAAAGATTAAAAATAACAAAGAAGCATGTGGTTTTTTTTAAAATGTATATGACTTAAACCTACTGTGAGTAAAAGTTTGACTCCTGATGGTAGTAGGTAAAAAAACTGAAGGCCACCTTTTTTAAAAAAAATCACCAGGGAGGATGAAAAGCACACATACATTATACAGAGAGGTCTATATGAATGCCAGAAGAAAAAAGCCTTTGAGGAAAAATTTGCCCATATGCACAAGAAGCAGAAGGATACCAGGTATGAAGAATACATCACAACATAAGATAAGATAACCTTTATTGTCATTTTTTTACTGTGGGCACAACGGCACACATCAAAAATGAAATTTAGTTGCCCGCTTTCAAAGTAAAACACATGACACACACCTAAACATACTATGAACATATGTATAGACCCACATTCTTACGTATACGTAGCAAATAAATATTAAATACTGTCCATCTTGAATACATAACGGAAGGAGGAAGCTTGAGAGTTCACAAGGTTAATGCTGTATGGAATGAAACTGGATGTTCTGCTACGGATACACGAAGCCTCTTCCCAGAAGATAACAAGGAAAACAGGTCATGAAGAGGATGTGTAGTGTCCCAGATAATCTTACGGACCCTGCTCAAACAATGCTTCTGTGCTACATCCTGGATGGGAGGGAGGGAACTGCCAATGATCTTTTCGGCCATTCTCACCACTCTGCACCGCTTTCCTGTCTGAAGCAGTGATGCCTCCAAACCAGACTGTGATGCTGTATGACAGGATGCTCTCGATTGTCCCCCTGTAGAAAGTGGTCAGGACAGGGGAAGGAAGATGTGCTTTTCTCATGCCACGCAGAAAATGCAGGCGCTGCTGTGCCCGCTTCACCAGTTTCTCACTGTTGAGCGACCAAGTCAGCCTACTTGTTAGCTGCACACCCAAGAATTTGATGCTGGTAACCGTCTCCACAGGTGAATCATTAATGTACAGAGAAGTGTGGCTGTGCCTGCCTTTTCTGAAATCAACAATAATCTCTTTGTTTTTTCCAGTATTTAAAACTAGGCTGTTTTCCTTAAACCAGTTCACCAACCCCTCAACCTCCTTGCGGTAAGCTTCCACCTAGTCATCCTGAATAAGGCCCACTACTGTTGTATCATCTGTGAACTTCGCAATATGGTTGGTGGCAAACCTAGCACAACAGTCATGGGTCAACAGGGTGAACAGCAGCGGACTTAAGACGCAGCCCTGAGGAGAACCTGTGCTTAAGAAAATGGTATTAGAGGTATTTGTTCCAACTCTCACATATTACAGAAGTAATATTTGGAAATATATGTCAAGCAAGAGTACACGAAGGAGTACAGGAGACAGTCTGTAACAGGAACTGGAACCGTTACCATAGGTAACCGGTTTGAAAGTCTGGAAGGCAAATTTCAACCATCTAAGATGGTTATACTGTATTATCCTAAAATTTCTAGAACAATGGAAAAGAGTTTTTCTCTAAAGAAATCAACAAAGTTGATTGGGCAGTTTCGGCAGTCTTATAGGGGAGATGGATGACATACAAATTTAATAAATAAATAAAACTCACAATCTGCAATGGAATGTAGTAGGCTGGATTCCGAGGAGGAAGGGGGTACATTCCAGAAAAATAAGAGGCAGTTCATTCTAAATGTTTTGTGTGAGTGAAAGAAGATGAAGACGGCCCCACCCTAATAGTTCTCTGTGTATTCGCTTGATGTACATAGCATCATGTACATAGCAGTTTGACAAGACTCTGTCAATAAGTGTGGAACAATAAAGAACCTAGCTTTAAAGAATTATGTGTCCTTGATTTTTGAGCCTGATACAATATTCAATATACAAATCCTATAGAAAGCACATGGACAAGATTTAAAGAGACAGCAGCAAAGTGATACAGGTCACTTTTTTCAGCCCAAGGATATGGATGATGCTTTTTTAAAATGAACTCACTATGTTCTCAAGCGGATAGTCCATAGTGGCTGTGGGAAACTTCAACTCAGCCAGTAATGTCATGTTGAAATAGAGCTCAAGGGACATGAGATTAATTTCATATGGCTGAGTGGAATAGCTGTAATTGGATGAGGAATTCCAGGGATTTCTCAGTAAAGTGAACAGAATAACCCATTTGTCTTATTTATTTACTTTATTTTTATTAGATTTGGTGTGCCGCCCATCTCATCTTCTCCTGTTGTACATTCTGGTGAAATTAACTGGCTTCACAACTAGTTGTTGTTCTCATGACTGAAGGGGAACAGAAGTAACGTGATATCTTTATATGATTCCAATGTTAGCACGGGAGCCAGTTTGGTGTCATGATTAAAGCTTCAGCCTAGAAACGTGGAGACTGTGAGTTCTAGTTCCACCTTAGGCATAAAGCCAGCTGCCGTGACCTTGGACCAGTCCCTCCCTCTCTGTCCTGGGAAGCAAATAACAGCAAACCACTTCCAAAATCCAGAAAACAGCAAGAACTAACCCAGGCTATTGCCAGGAGTCAACACTGACTCAAAGGTGTGCGTGCGCGCACTCACACACACACACAAGTAAAACATAATTATTTCAAAAATTGCTTTCCACCCAAATACCATGTGTTTAGGTAGTAAGCCTCTTAACGGTTTCCAAGCTAGAAGGGGGGGGGGGGGAGAGAGAAGCCTGCATAGGCAGAAAAACACTAAGAAGAAATACACAGAGGCAGACACTATGGTACTACCCAAAGTTCATTATAGCTCTTCTGCCTGTACTGTATCTCTTCTGCAGAAAGTTGCATGCTAGAATATCCAGTGGTCTGACTGGTGATGTCATATTCTAAAGCATTTCCTGAACAGAAATACACAGCTAAATTTGGAGTGGCCAATTTCATCAGGGACAACCCAGCATCGTTTTTCACTGCTATGATGGAAATCAACAAATGTAAATCAGCAATCTTGTAACTATTTAATGAGAAAGTTTCATCGATTTCGGTCGGATATACCCCATATGGATAAATCAAGGCTTGCAGTCTCAAAATGTTCTATGAGACAGTACAAAATTTAATGCAAACTTCAGCCTCTTCCCCATACTGCAGTTATGAAACTTCTCTCTTCCATCTGCTCTTACCTAGCATTTAAGTTCCAAACAAACCAATCATGAATATTTTCCTAATGGCTTTTTTTTTTGTCCTCTACTGAAAATGTTCACTGCATGTGGGCTTATTAAAATTAATTCTGATCGTTTAAAAGGGAGTGTGCAAGATGTACATATGTTTTAAATGCTGTGGAATTCCTGCTGTTGTTAGCAACCTTCCTTTTGTTTCGAAACTGGAATGCACTATTTGTGTCCTTTGTCCTCAAACGAGATCTAATTCATCCTGATTTCAGATTTGGGGGGGGGGGGAGACTTCTCTGTGTCCACGTGGAAGTGATCCAACAGAAATCCTAAGTATGTGCCTGTGTGCCAATTGAGAGATCAACGAGAAGTGTTATTTCAGGTTACTGTGCACAAATAAGCACAATGTCAGTTCCCATAATCAAGATCTGGACGACAATGTCAGTTCCCTTAATCAAGATCTGGACGCCCCTATCACAATGTGCTTTCTCTTTCAAACAAACAAGCAACGGAATGATAGGTAGCGCGAGGCTTTCACATTAATTAATATACTACTAAAACCTCCAGAGCCAGTGTCAAAAGGCTGTTCAGGCCGAGCTCCGAAGGAGGGGGCGGCGGGAGTCATACGGGCGCCCCACCCTTTGCTTTTCCGCCTCGGCGACCGGGAGCGCGCACCGGCCGCTCAGAGAGCGAGCGGGCGAGGGGGCGGGCGGGTGCGCGCGCGTTGGCCGGGCCCCGCGGCCTCTGGGCTTCTTTCGGCGATGGCGACGGCGACGGCGCCCTCGCCGCGGGACCCAGCCGGGGACTGGCAGGACTTCTCGGGCTTCCAGCCTTTCTCGGAGCCGAGCGCTTGCCTGGAGCCCCCGGCGGCGGCGGCGGCGGCCGTGGAGGGAGGCCCATGGGATGGCGGGGGCGATCTGGGGACCAGGCTCCCGCTCTGCTTCCAATCTGCTCGGCTGCTGGCTGAGCATTGCGTAGACCCGGAAGCCCTTCTCCCGCCGCAGCCCCTCAGCGAGCGGAGCGCCTTGCACGAAGATGAGTGAGTGAAGCGGCAGGTCGAATTCCTTCCTTATAGGAGGGAGGGATCCTCCTCCCCCTCCTCCTCGCCCCCCCCCCCATCGCTTGGCGAGAGGCTCCTTTGCAAAGAGTGAGGTTCTCCCTTCGGTCGTAGAAAACTTCGCAAGGGGGTTGGGGCGCTCAGGGCTCGGGCGTACTCCTTACGAAAAGGGATGTATAAGAAACAGGGCGCCCGCGCGCGGGGTGGGGGGAATAGGGAAAAGAGAATTGCAGTTTCAGTACATAATTCATTGCTAATGGAGAGCAATCCCCGACAGAGAATAGGGTGTTCCCCAGCCCCTTGGGGTTACGAGAACCTAATGTCCGGTAAGCCCCGAAGGAAGAAAGCTTCGAGCTACTTTCACCTTCACTGCGACCTGAACTTTAAACTTTCCAGCACAACCAGATCGAGCTGTGTATGTTAGCAGCATTCCACGGACAAGACACTGGAATTTGAATATGAAATCTGATCCTTTTGTACCTTATACTTAAGGGGAGGCCCTTTAACAACTTAGAATCCCCAAAGGCCCATTTTCTGTGTAGACCCTCATGTTTTATTTTAGGTACCTGAACTGGTTTTGCAGTTTAAAAAAGCAAAAGAAACTTTGTAGAGACATAATTGGACCTTTCCAAACTTGCACATTTGAGAAATTGTCTCAAATATCCCCTTTTCACTAGGGTTTCTTTTATAAAAAACAACAACAACTTGCTGATTTATAACTACATAACTTTTATTGATGTTTAACTCATTTAGGAATTGGAAACATATTTTAGACTACTATCTCTGCTCCAATATAATCATTGGTATGGGTGCATTCTCTAGTTTGCATCAAAAGCACTTGTATACCCAAGGTAAAGATCTGATTGTGAGATGGTGGAAACAATTTATTACCCACCATAAATTCTATTAATATAAACAATATCCATATTTTCCAAAGGATGTATTGATATTTGCATATCAGAGCATAAGGAGCATGTTTGAGAAGTTTGGCTTTTAGTGAATGAATGAGAAAACGCTCAAGTCAATTTTGCTTTGCTCCCCATGCCAGCTGGAGCAACTAAAAGACTGCAGAAGCTCCTTTCAAGGTTCACCTGACCTCAGAACTTAAGCTGGCTGTGGCTTCTTTGTCCCATATCAGGAATTGAAAGGCAAGAATGAGCCATGGCTTGATAATGAAAACATTAGAAACTGCTTGAAGCCTAAATAAGGCCAAACTATACTAATTTTTTTTTCTTCAAGGGTAAGCTTGAAATAATTACAATACATGGGAAGAACTTGATGCAAATGAAGGTCAATAGTAGCTAAAGTACTGGGAGCTGTGATTTCTTGTGTGTATTATAATCTGTGTTCTGCTTTTATAAGCACTTAAGAGAGAAAACATTTTTTCTATTATATATACTGCTAAATAGATACTTATATAGTTGAGCAAGGCTTTTTTCATTCTTTGGCAGGTTGGTATAAGACAATTCATGAGGATCTTTAGTCAAATCATAACATTGCATACATTCTCTACTACTACTGCATGCAAAATTGGCTGACTCAAATCTGGCACAGAACACTAAAGGCAAATATCCAGTGATGGATATTTTTGGGATGGGATGGAGATTCCTCACTCATGGCTGTGGTTTATTGACATACTTTCGGATTAATGTGGTACAAAAACTTTTAAAAGCAGAAGCTTTAGATAAGATAAGATAAGATAAGATAAGATAAGATAAGATAACCTTTATTGTCATTTTTTTTTACTGTGGGCACAACGGCACACATCAAAAATGAAATTTAGTTGCCCGCTCTCAAAGTGAAACATACATGACACACACCTAAACATACCATGAACAACATATGTATAGACCCACACCCCTACATATACGTAGCAAATAAATATTAAATACTGTCCATCTTGAATATATATGGAAGGAGGAAGCTTGAGAGTTCATAAGATTAATGCTGTATGGAATGAAACTATGGCTGAATAATTTCTGCCTATTATAAGGACTGGATTTTTTCTTCTTCCAGGATTTGGAATGCTCTGACAGATAATTATGGTAATGTAATGCCAGTTGATTGGAAATCATCCCACACCAGAACTCTGCACTTGCCAACCCTGAATCTTTCTGAAAAGGGAGTAAGTATTGCCAGAACAATTTGAAAAATGTTCCTTTTGTCCATTTAAATCTGTGTCCTAGACATCAAATATTACATAATCTGTCAATTTAATTCAAGGCTCCTTTGCCATACCATTATTAGCTTTCTGATTCTTTTGGTGTCACGGCTTTTCTTCTTTAAAATTTATCTAACACATGCCCCAATGTCCAATAAGATATGTTCATTCTAAAAAATACAAGAATTATCATTTTAATGCTAATTCCTACATTTGCATTCCTGCACATTTCATTGATTATGTTGTCAGCTCTAATCATGCATAATACTTTTGGTTTAAGCCAGAAATAAAGTAACTAGTAATAATAACTGATATAAGAATAAAAGCAGTGCTCTGTTTCATTAAAAATATATTCAGTATATTATTCCTTCTTAGCTGGTATTAGGCAAAAGATAGAAGCATTTAAACTTTTTCAGATTGCCCTGGAAAGCTCTTAATGCAAAAACTGCCTTGATTAAAGTCAAGAGCTTGGGATTACACTGATAAACCCATGACATTTTCTCAACAATGGGGCAGAAATGATTCTCCATTATCTGCTTCTGGGATAATTTTTATATTATTATTTGTTGCTGTAGCTTACAACTCTGAGATTTCCTGGTGACTTCTAACCAGGTCCAGCTATGCTAAGCTTTTTGACTAAGTTCAGAAAGTCCCAAAGGACTTTTCTTTGAAGACATTTCACTTCTCATCTAAGAAGCTTCTTCAGCTCTGACTGGATGGTGGGGAATGGAAGGATCCATCCAGTCAGAGCTGAAGAAACTTCTTGGGTGAGAAGTGAAACATCTTCAATTTTTAATTTTTAACCAACAAAACAAAACAAAGCAAAACATAACACACATACACACACAGTATATACTCTTCTCCCTTTTTTTTTTAACAGCGATTACGTAACGGTAATCTTCTATTATTTACATTTCCCCCCTTATTCTTCTTTAGAATATTTGTCCTTATTGTCCCGTTGTTTCTTATTTACATTTTTCTTCCTTCATATTCTACTTCTTACTAAGAATAATTCATATTATTATTATTATACATTATTATACACATATTTTCACTTTTGACCTTTCCATATTTATTCTCCTCTATTATTTCTAGTCTCCAACCAGTCATACCACTTGTTCCATGTTATATAGTACTCTGTGTCTTCCTTTTCTTTTATCTCTTTTGTTAATTTGTCCATCTCAGCACAGTCCAGGATTTTTCTTATCACTTCTTCCTCTGATGGCATATTCTCACTTTTCCAGCACTGTGCGTATGCTATTCTTGCCGCCGTTATTATATGTAAAATTAAGTACCATATTTCTTTACTATATTTCCTGTTTAAAATACCCAACAAAAAGATCTCTGGTTTCCAGTCTACGGGTTGGTCTATTATTTCTTCAATCCATTTTCTTATTGTAGTCCAGTATTTTTTTGCAACTGGGCATGTCCACCATAAATGATAATATGTTCCATGTACTTTTTTACATTTCCAGCATGTTGGTGAATTGTTCTGGAACATCTTGGCAAGCTTTGCTGGTGGAAGATGCCATCTGTAAAACATCTTCAACTGGTTTTCCTTGAATGCCGCCGACATAGCCAATTTTATATTTATTTCCCGTATTTTTGAGAAGTGAAACATCTTCAAAGAAAAACAAGAAAGTCCATTGCCTCGTGAAAAAAAGCATCTTTGGGACAACCATGACTTGGATGACTGAGAATTTCCATAGACATTAAGTTCAGATAGGTTCTTTCACTTACTTGGATAGATAATAATAATAATAATAATAATAATAATAATAATAATAATAATAATAATAATAATAGGCTCCTTGGGCGCAATCCCAAAACAACTGGAGCACCACTTGAACACCATTGGCATTGACAAATTTGCTATTAGTCAATTGCAAAAGGCGGCCTTACTAGGAACTGCTTCCATCCTGCGACGATACCTGTAATACCCTCAAACATCCACATCTGCCTATCCCAGGTCCTGGGTAAGGACTCGATAGGTAGACAAAATGCCAAATCCAGTCTGAACATCTGGCTGACTGTGCGATGATTGACAATAATAATAATAATAATAATAATAATAATAATAATGTTGGAAGGGACCTTGGAGGTCATCTAGTCCAACCCCCGGCTCAGGTAGGAAACCCTATACCATTTCGGACAAATGGCTGTCCAGTTTTTTCTTAAAAACTTCCAGTGTTGGAGCATTCACCGCTTCTGGAGGCAGGTTGTTCCACTGGTTAATTGTTCTAACTGTCAGGAAGTTTCTCCTTAGTTCTAAGTTGCTTCTCTCCTTAATCAGTTTCCATCCGTTGCCTTCAGGTGCTTTGGAAAATAGCTTGACTCCCTCTTCTTTGTGGCAGCCCCTGAGATATTGGAACACTGCTATCGTGCACCCCTCGTCCTTCTCTTCGTTAAACTAGACATACCCAATTCCAGCAACCGTTCCTTATACGTTTTAGCCTCCAGTTCCCTAATCATCTTTGTTGTTCTTCTCTGTACACTTTCTAGAGTCTCAACATCTTTTTCACATCGTGGTGACCAAAACTGGATGCAGTATTCCAAGTGTGGCCTTACCAAGGCATTGTAAAGTGGTATTAATACTTCACATGATCTTGATTCTATCCCTCTGTTAATGCAGCCTAGCACTGTGTTGGCTTTTTTGGCAGCTGCAGCTCACTGCTGGCTCATATTTAAATGATTGTCCACTAGGACTCCAAGATCCCTTTCACAGTTACTACTATTGAGCAAGGTACCCCCTATACTATACCTGTATATTTGGTTTTTCTTACCTAAATGTAGAACCTTACTTTTTTCACCATTGAATTTCATTTTGTTAGATAGTGCCCAGTGTTCAATTCTGTCCAGATCCTCCTGTATCTTAAGCCTGTCTTCTGGAGTGTTGGCTATTCCTGCCAGCTTGGTGTCGTCTGCAAATTTGATGAGTTCCCCATCTATCCCCTCATCCAGATCATTGATGAAGATGTTGAAGAGCACTGGGACCAGAACAGAGCCCTAGGACACCCCACTACACACTTCCCTCCATGTAGATGTGGTTCCATTGAGGACCACACACTGAGTACGGCCGGTTAACCAGCTACAGATCTATCTGGTGGTGATGCTGTCTAACCCGCATTTTTTTATCTTATCAAGTAGTAGATTGTGATCTACTTTGTCAAATGCCTTACTGAAGTCCAAGTAAATTATATCCACAGCATTCCTCTGGTCCACTAATTTTGTCACTTGGTCAAAGAATGCAGTAAGATTTGTCTGGCATGATCTGTTTTTGACAACCCGTGTTGGCTTTTAGTAATGACTTTGTTTGCCTGTAGGTGTTCGCTGATTCGTTGTTTGATTATCTTTTCCAGAATCTTCCCAGGTATTGAGGTCAGGCTGATAGGTCTATAATTTCCTGGGTCCTTTCTTTTTTTTTTTTTTTTTTTTTTGAAGATGGGAACTACATCATCTCTTTTCTAGTCCTCTGGTAGTTCCCCAGTGCTCCAGGATCTTTGAAAAATATAGTTCAGTGGTTCTGAGATCACATCTGCCAGTTCCTTGAGAACCTTGGGTAATCCATCTGATTCTGGTGATTTGAACTCGTCTAGGCTGGACAGGTGTTCACTTACCATTTTTTTGCCTATCTTAACTTGTATTTCTATTTTGTTTTTTATGGCACTATTTTTGATAGGTTGGTCTGTTTTTTTTCCTTTGTGTAAAAACAGATGCGAAAAACGAGTTAAATAGTTTTACTTTCTCCCTGTTGCTTGTCACCTTCTTGCCACTTTCACCCACTAATGGACCAATTGTTTCCTTCACTTTTTTCTTGTTTTTTTACATGTTGAAAGAAGCTTTTTTTGTTATTTTTGTCTTTGGTCGCAAACCTTAGTTCATTTTGAGCCTTAGCTTTCCTCACTTCGTCTTTGCAGGCTCGGGCTATTTGCTGATATTCTGACTTAGTTATGTGTCCCTCTTTCCACTTTCTATATTTGTCCTTTTTATCTTTCAATTGATAGAGAGTTCTTTATGCAGCCATGCTGGTTTCTTTTGAGAGCTGTTATTTTTCCTCTTTGTTGGTATTGTGCTAGACTGGGCCTTTATTATCTCACTTTTCAAAATTTCCCAAGCCTCTTGAGTTGTTTTCCCCTGGAGGATTCTCATCCATGGAATCCTTCCCAAACCCTCTCTAAGTTTATTGAAATTAGCTCTCTTGAAGTCCAAGACTCTAGTATGACTATGTTCTATTGCTTTTGCTTCCATAATGTTGAATTACAATATTGCATGATCACTTCCTCCCAAGGTTCCTATGGCTTCAACACCTTCTATCATTTCATCTCTGTTAGTGAGAATTAGGTCCAAAATGGCTAATCCCCTAGTTCCCTTCTCTACTTTTTGGAAGACAAAGTTGTCTGCTAGGTTTGTCAGGAATCTGTTTGATCTTCCACTTGGTGCAGTTTGTCTCCCAGTTGATGTCAGGGTAGTTAAAGTCTCCCATTACTGTTGTGATGTGCTTCCTACATACCTTAGTTAGCTGACTAGCGAAAAGTTCATCTATTTCCTGTGTTTGGTTGGGTGGCCTATAGTATACCCCTATGGCAATTTCGTTTCTCCCCCCCCCCCTTTTATATTGACCCATATGCATTCAGGACAGTTTTCATCATTGTTGTGCTCTATTTCTGTAGAAATGTAGTTATTTCTTATATAGAGAGCAACTCCACCTATTCTTTTATTTGGTCTGTTTCTTTTAAATAATTTAAATTCCTCTAGCTGTGTGTTCCATTTGTGGGTTTCATCCCACCATGTTTCCGTAATGGCAACAATATCATATCTGCCCTCATTAACCTGAATTTCTAGTTCACCCTGTTTGTTGTTCATACTCTGTGCATTTGTGTATAGACATTTAAGTCCTTTATGACTGACCCTGTGTTTACTTCCTACATAACCTGTGTGGTGCCTGAGTTCCCCTAATGTCTTACCACCTATTTGGTTAGTGCACTTTGTGTGGCACTCGCTATTAAGAGCTTGATTTTGCTTGATAGCAAGGTTGATGTTCTTGTCCACATACACATCTATGTTACATGCACTGATAGCCCTATAATTTTTAGATTGCTGGGGACAGGGATGTTCTGTATCAGTTAGCTCACTGTCCCCGCTGTTTAGTTTAAATATTCCTCCAGAAAATCTGTGAATTTATAGCCAAGTAACTCAGTCCCTTTCTTTGATGGATGCAAACCATCTCTTTTATATATTTTTTCATTGGACCAGCTGCTGACATCGGGACTAATATATCCAAAGCCTTCCCCTTTACTCCACTCCTTTAGCCACATATTGAATTGTGCTATATGCTGGCCTTTTCCATTTTGGTCCTTATACACTAGTAAGACCTCTGAAAAAATAAGCCTACAGCCTATTCTGCTAAGTTCCTGCCCCAGGCTCTGGAAGTCATTCTGCACAGTGAGTACATCTTTTTGGGACAGATCATTAGTGCCAAGATGTACAATAGCCTCCACATCACCGTCTATACTGGCATTCTTGATTATTTTACAAATACGCTTCTTGTCCCTACTGGCAGTAGCACCTGGAAGATACCTGACCTCATTCAAAACCTCTGTGTCCTTTCCTAAATTTACATCCCTTATAACTGAATCACCAACCAGAAGGTGGCTTCTCTTTTGGGGTGCCTTTCTGTTCTTGTATGACTGATGTGTAATACCTGATTCGCACTTCTCCCTGTCAAAAACAAGTTCTTCATCTCGGACCAAGATCCCCTGCTTATTTGAGTTGTCATCACAAATACCTTTACCTGTCTTCTTAATGTCCCTATTAAGGTCAGCAAGGGCACTGTATCTGTTGTGCAGGGACACAGCAAAAGCTTTATGTTTATGGTTCACAGCTCTCACCCTTCCAGATCCCACAGTTCTCCACACTGCCCTTCTCTTGCAGGATCTTTGTGGTAGAGGGGGCTGATAGCTTGGAGGCTCACTGGAGTAGAAGGGCTGAACTGGACATCTAATTTCTGCCTGAAGAGCAGAGATTACAGAACCTAGATAAATAATCTCTCCTTGTAGACTAGTGATTTGTTTACAGATAGGACAGTTTCCAAGATTGAAAAGGGTACTGCGAAAGACAGCTGCAAAACAAGTGTTGCACTGAACTATGCCTGACATTCTTAGATACAAGGAATCACAGACGCACTTGCCCTGAATGTACTGCTGCTGTTTGATTTTTGGTTGTATAATTCGCACAGCGTTAGGCGCGCGGGCCGCTACTTTTAGAGCTCAACTCACAGTTATAGCAAGCACTGGGAAGTTTAAATGCAATAGATCCAATCAGCAAGGCCCCAGTTACTTTTAGAGCTCAACCCCCGCCCCCCTCACAGTTATAGCAAGCACTGGGAAGTTTAAATGCAATAGATCCAATCAGCAAGTGCTGATCCCTAGAACTGAATCAGGAAATCCATGGAAGAGTTTTAAGGTTTCTAAAAGAGCAAAATTATTAAGAAATAATAGAGATTTCATTTGCTGAAGATCTACGCCTACAACCTATCAATGCATAAAGTGTTTATCGGCTGGCCTGTCACAGAGCCTGATATTGATTAGGGACACCCAGCTAGCTTCCATGCCTAAGGGAAGATTCAAGCCTCAATCACTTGGCTTTTAATCTAGCATTTTAGCCATTTTGCTAAAATGGCTTTCTTTAACCATTTTGAGTATATATCTTATTTATTTTGAAGAATAAATTTGACAGTGGCTTGGGACCTCACTATATGTTTAAATACAGGTTTAGATTTCTTTCCCCTCTTACCTCTCCTCTGAAGCCATAATAGAGTCCAAGCTCAATAGTTTGTTTTAGGTTATCAAGTCACAGAATGGATTTTATTCTAAATAAAGATGTCTAAGAAATAAATGTGATCTGTGAACTGACAAGACGGTATCTATTTATTCAGTTCATTTGAATTAACCAACCTGAATGGCACAATATTGTTTGTTTGTTGAACTGAATTTTGATGTGTAGGTTGAGCACTACGTAGATAGGGAAGATAATAATAATAATTTTGGGGTGTCAGTATTTTTAATCCTTCAGCATGTTTAAAGATCTCATACACTATTATATAATTAAGTGTTATGATATTTCGTTGATTTCTAAGTCTTTTTAATAATCTGCTTTTATTTTGTATTTTTATACAGGTTAATGATAACTTGAACCTAGACTTGTCAGATGATGAAGAGTTGAGAGACCAGCTAGACATGCATTCTATCATTGTCTCCTGCATCAATGAAGAACCTCTCTTCACAGCTGAGCAGGTAAAGTTCAAAAATAAATTTGTGCAATTTAGCATCAAACATTTCTTCTTTCAAATATGTTTGAAATGCCTAGAAACAGCTTAGTAAAGATATGGTCTAATACAGAATAACACATGTTTTAATGCAGAAGAGATTTACTGTTTCATTCTTAAATTAGAACTTATATGGGAGAGCTGCAAATTGCCTAATGCCTTCTGCTATTCTTCTTTGTGGCCCACTAGTGTCCCTGGGATCTCCACTTTTTTATAACTCAGTGGGATGAGCAAGGGGAAAAAAAAAACATTGTATTCATTTTACTAGAAAAGCAACTATTTCGATTTTTAAAAAGAGGCTTAGTTTAAACCAGACATGTCAAATTCACGTGACATATTGGGACTGTTTTGCCATTGCCAGCAATGGGGTGGGCGCGGCTTCCGCATGACGTGTCCAGTCCGCGGTCCGGCAATTTGACACCCCTGGTTTAAACCCTTTCTTCTCTCCTGTTACTGTTATGTTAGCTATGTATGTGTACTATGTATGTGTACGACACAGAAAATTGGGTGAAGTATGTACATATAAGTTGGTGGATATGTTGCAGCCCCCCCACCCCCATTCATATCCTTGAAAAGCGCTTTGATAGCAAGTGCTAACCCCCCTCAACTGTGGAAAATACTCCCACATTTGATAAGGGTCACAATATTCAAAATAATTTTCCAGTATTTTATGAATGGCAGTAGGAAAATAAAGTTGGTCTACAAAAACAAACAAAAAACTAAACTAAAGTAAACTAAAACATGATTGAATAATAAAATAGAGATAGAATGGTTCATAATGGTAATTTAAGTCTAAAGTCATCCTTTTTATTTGTGTTACTTTAGTAAGCTCTGTGTATGATGAAATGTGTAGCCAACTTCGGATATAAAAGACATTTTTTTGGTATGGATGTAACACCCATTCAATGGATTTCTTTGTTAAAGAGATTTTACTGCAAACAATGCCATTTGCCTCAATTATGTAATTCCATAAATGAACAAATTGATAGAAATGGTGCAAATTTAGGTTTAATAAGCATTCAAATTAAGTAGACATTTTCTCCACTATCCAAATGTCTATTAAATAAATACTTTATTGGTTTTTGCTGGAGTTCAAATGTGAATTTTTAGATTTTAGCACACATTAGGAGTAGGGAACCTTATTTTTTTGAAATGCCATTAACTCACAGGATGTCAACCACTCTATACCAAGCTGTATATACATAGAGGACTTCTTGTATGAATGTTTTGTTTTTATTTATGGGATTTATCTTCACCTCAATCTTATCAGACTCTAAGCAGCATACAAATACTGATGAAAAATCACAATACTAACAACAACAGTACACTGGTACCATTGATTCCACAGTCAATCCCCAAAAATTTTCTGAAAAAGCTAAGTTTTGACCAGGTTGTAGAAAGCCATGAGAGTGGAATCATCTTTGCCTCATGAGTCCAGTTGTTCCATAGGAGGGGCATCCTCCCCAGAGATCAGTGGGGGCTCATCACTTTTTATGGTGGCTGAGGACCTTTACCAAACCCTTAACCCTCCAACTCAGATAATAGCAATAGGACTTAGACATACACCATCGTAAAGTGCTTTACAGCATTCTCTTGGTGATTTATAATTTGCATATTGTCCCCAACAATCTGGGTTCTCATTTTACTGATCTCAGAAAGATGGAAAACTGAGTCAACCTTGAGCCCCGTCAGGATCAAACTTAGGCTGTGGGCAGAATTTACCTGCAATACTGCAATTTGACCACTGCACCACCAGATCTACTTAGGAAAGGATCTATTTGAGAGAGGCAAACTCTTAGATACCTCTGGCTCCAGGCTATATGGGATTTGAAATATATTGAATTTCACTCAGAAACATATTGATAGATGATAAAGCTCCTACAAAATATATGTGTGCATATATACATCTCTTTCTTATACAGATGACTTCTACAATGCAACTGTTTCGTTTTTCTTTTTTCTTGAAGCAATCAGTGAAAAGGATTATCAGAATGGTAGAGAAATATAATAATTGTGCTCACTAGCTATCCATTCACTGTTCCACTGGTGGAAGATATTTTTATTGTACTAGCTCATAAATGCACGACTATGTTTTAGCAACAGTTTCAGTTTCCTTTCATGTCATCTCTGCAGCATTATTTAACTTCTCTGATTAGACTACTTTAGTCATTCCTCCCAACCATTGAACATTCCTTGAAAAATATTTTATCCAAGAATCTAGCAACTCAGATCAGACCCTAAAATGATAACCGTGCAAGGGACTGAGAGCTGTAATACTGTTACTAAGTCACAAGTAAACTGCTGTATCTAGTATTACAAATTCAGGAAAGTCTGCCAGATTGATTAGAGATGGATAATGTAGAAACATGCTTTCTATTTAAATTGCTAGCTTTTATTACCCAAATCCATGTATAATTGCTGGATTAATATGCTATTCACTTTTGCTTCTCCACATTATGCTTGTTTTTCCTAATCCAACTAGTTCCTGCTATCCTATTAATTTTTCAGAAAATGATTAAAACATAGCTTTTCTGAAAGGCCCTTGGAGACAAATCTATGTTTTGCTTCCTTTCAGAGCAGTAGTGGATTGTTTTAGTTTTACTGATGTTTTCTGAGAATTATTATGGTTTTTGTGGATTTTATCATTTCTCTGATGATTTGTAAATCACTTAGAAATGTATAATTCTATAGAAGTATAAGAATTGACTAACTGAATGGTATGGTATTAATTTATGACTATATTGTTCCAAAGGCAGGATAGACGAGACCAAATAAATCAGAGCTCCAAGGCTAGAAGTTTTCTCAAAGAACATGTTTATTGGTTACATAGTATTGGCACGGTCAAAAGTGAAACCAAGTCTATTACAAAGTTAAACTTCCCACCCCAGGGCTATGCAATCAGCTACGTTTATCAATAGAATAGTTTGGTGGGCTTTCTACCCAACTGCTCCCCCTCCCAATCCAACTGGCAAAAATGACCTTGGTTCCCATGGGACAGTAAATTGTTTAGACTAGCAAAATTCTTCCGTACCCCCTCCCATCTTTGTGGCAACCTAGCATGAGCAAGATAGCTGCTGTTGTAGAGTTGACAAGTGGGGTCTCCATGATTAATGTTATAAACAATAATTTATATATAAATCATAATTAACTTTGATTGGCACTGTGACCTAGAGATGGAATTCTCACTTCATAATCAGGAGGCTGTAAATTCAATCCTAGGTAGTGACAGATATTTTTCTTTCTGGGTGCAAAGAATAATTGTCTGCTGCAAACTCCATATAGGCTTCAGGAAGGGTATCCAGGCAGTAAATGCTCAAGATCCATTCAGTTGCCCTGATTCCATCCCGATGCAAGGGATTATTGGTTACATAATTAACTTAAAGATATTTCTCTATTTTTGAAAATCACCCTATGATATTGTTGTATTCATTATTAGAACTTTTATATTTACAGTTTTAAAGTCTTTCAGTGATTAAAAATTATTATTAAATAGTCTTTACAAAAATAAATAATCAGTATAATTTTGTCTTTGGTCCTCTGTAACTTTCTCTATGTGGGTGGAAGGTGATAGAAGAAATAGAAGAAATGATGCAGGAATCTCCCGATCCAGATGATGATGAAACACCTAACCAGACAGACCGTCTGTCCATGTTGTCCCAAGAAATTCAAACACTTAAAAGGTCTAGTGCAAACCACAATTATGAAGAAAGTAAGTGATGTTTACTTGTATCTTCTGTTCAATGTTTGTCTTAAAATCAGTTCTGCTGTACTTTAAAACTTCTTGAAAATATAATTTCAATCTTACCTTCTAGATTATTTCTGCCTAGGTCACAGGTCGGCAACCTGCGGCTCCGGAGCCGCATGCGGCTCTTTGAGCCTTCCCCTGTGGCTCCCAGCCTCCTCTGCCTTTGCAGAGAGAGACAGAGACAGAGAGAGGCAATTGCACTTCCCTGCTTCTGTGTGTGTGTGTGTGTGTGTGTGTGTCTGTGTGTGTGTCTGTGTGTGTGTGTTTGTGTGTGTGTGTGTGTGTGTATGTGTAAAAGAGAGTGCACTCACAGTGTTCTCCGAGGAGCTGAAAAGCTTTCTGGGCGGAGCTCCTCCCTTTGCTGCGTCTCTGAAGGAAGCAGGAAGCAGGAAGGGCAGGAGAGAGCTAGCTAGCCCAGCTAGGCTGACTCAGGAATTCTGGGAGTTGAAGTCCATGAGTCATAAAAGAGACGAGGTTGCTTGTTGGACAACAGCTTGAAGCTTGCCAGGTGAGCAGCAGATAGGAGGGAGGGGAGAAAGAAAGAGAGAGAGAGAAAGAGAGAGAGAGGGAGGGAGAGAGAGAGAAAGAGAGAGAGAGAGAGAGAGAGAGAAAGAAAGAGAGCGGGGGAAGAGGAGTGGCAGACCAAGGGCAGATAGAGAGGGAGGGAGGGAGAGAGAGAGAGAGAGAGAGAGAGAGAGAGACCCTTTAGACATCTAAAATGAAGATAACACTGCATATATCCTTTTTTTACCTGTGTGTGTATGTGTGTGTGTGTGTGTGTGTGTGTGTGTGTGTATACACATACATATATACACATACACACACAAACACACACAAACAAACACACACACACCTATAATAAAGGTAAAAAAGGATATATGCAGTGTTATCTTCATTTTAGATATCAAAAGGGTTTTGCGGCTCCCAGTGTTTTGTTTTTGGTGGGAAACGGGTCCAAGTGGCTCTTTAAGTGTTTTGGGTTGCCTACCCCTGGCCTAGGTATTGAGAAAACTATATTTGCTTCAATTCCAGTTCACCAAGACAGACTACCAGATCCACATTCTTGATATTATTCATGTTGTTAAATGATTTTATATATTTATATTGATTTGGTACTACCATGTTTTCCTGAAAATAAGACTAGGTCTTATTTTTTTTTCCTCCAAAAGAGGCACCAGGTCTTATTTTGGGGGTTGTCTTACCCCCAGCACTGACAGCCCCACTCAGCAGGTCCATTTCTTTCTTTTTTTTTTAAACAATTTTTATTATTTTTCCATTTTACACTAACAGAAGCTTAAGAACCAGTGTGGAGATATGGTGATCAATAACATTGTATATATACAATTCACACAATATTTCTTAAAACTTCCCTCTCTATTTATGTAGAAATTATAATCAATTAAATTCAAATAAATTCATTCATTAATATGTCTAAATATAAATTTCCTTAATCAATAAAAACTTTCAACCGCTCAATATCAATATAATAATCAAATTAATACACTCCTATATCCAATTCATTCTTTAATATGTCGCTATATATAAATTAAATGCTTAAATCAAAACCAACGCTCTCTATCTATTTAAATTATTGGAATCTCATTAATACCTTTCTAACACATATTTTCATTAAGTATATTGCCAGATATAAATTTCATTAGTCAGTAATCTTTTACGAAAGTTCCTTATCTATCCCAAAGATCCTGTTTTAAATTTTATTAGTTTTTCCAAATATTTAGATTTAAGCTAACCTAATTACTTAAGTATTTCAGGGCCCCCAAATTTCTCTTATTTAAACATATTAGCTCCAAAACTAAATTCCTACATTTCTCAACTATATTTCTATTATTTTTCAATAATTCTCCAATTATTAATTCCATCTCATTCCAAAACAAAAACCACAAATGGGAAAAGAAAAAAAGAAAAACATACACACACAAAAAAGAACACATATTCTTGCTATACTTCAATATTAAATTCTAAATCATTTCATAATAACCTCCCATTTAGCACAAACCAAATCCAAAACAGTCCAAATCGCTATAAAACCTTTACCATCCATAATTATCATCTCAAATTTAATATTTATATCTTATTCTGGGTTTCCTTCTATTCCAAATAGGTTTCCATAGTCGAGTCTCTAGTTCTGCAAATAGCTCTCCCATTGTCTCCTGCCACACTGTGCATAGGAGCAAGAGATCTCCCATTATCCATTTTCTTAGGCTGGTATAAGAGTTATAGTCATTCTGAAAAGCTTGTGCCAAAACGTCATTTCCCATCTTTTTCAATGTTGCATAAACTTTAGTTGGAATCCTTTTTTTGGTATGGTCCTCTTTAGTCAAGTTTTGCTCTTCTTCCAATAGTTTTTCCTCTCTCGGAAAGTCAAATGGTATCTGCAAATCAGCTTGACCTTCCGAAATAAGCTCCTCCATTTCCATATTATAGGTCATCTGACCATTTATATTAAGGCTTATTCCCAGTATCGATTGCAAATCCAACTGTACATTTGCTTCTTCAATTCTCAATAAGCTGAGAGCAGGTCTTTTGAATACCAACTACAGTTTCACTTAAAGCTTGTGCTTGACTTTGTCGATGTAAAGAAATCTCCTTTTTACGAGCAATTATCATCTCCGTGTTTTCTAAGATTTTATCCAGAATATATTTATAAATAGAGTCTGAAGGGGTTCCTCCATTTTTATCATATTTGAAGACATTCTCTTTTTGGGGGAGACTATATTTAAACACAGTCATTCAATATCCATCTCCTCCCAAGTTTCTTAGTCTATTTCCTTTATGCAAATTCCAAGAGAAAAGAAAAAAAATAGCAAGAGCGATACTTAGTTTCAGCAGAAGATGTCCCCCAACGACTACTCAAAGTTAATCAAATAATCAGTCTTTTCGGAAAACATAAAAAATAAGAAAAAATAATACTCTCCAAATGCATAGCCTAAGTCTCTCTAAAAGAAAATTTTTTGGAGCTCCAATGTATTCAAAAATAGAATCAGCCATTAAAACAAAAATAGGTTTCGTCCTTTTCTTAAGCTTCTCCTCCCCCCATTTAAAACGCCGCTTCAACAAAAAGGGGAATAATTCCAGAAAAAAAAACTTTTCACAGGAAAAAAAGAAAGTAGAGGTAAAAAAAAATCTCACCAAATCTTCCATGGTGGGTCTGCTTGCTTAGATGATCTGATGGCTTATGGTTGGCACAGCTAAATTATCGGCCATAGATGGCTGATCTTTACCCTGTCGGCCCAAAGGAGATACTCGGTGCACAGAGGACGCCGCCGTTCCTCTGCAACTATCCGAGAAGCCTCCTCAATGGTAGACACTCCTCCAGAGCATCTTTTCGACCCTCTAAGAGGTCTACCGGCAGGGGAAACTCGATCGGCAAAGGGACCGCACCGCCACGAAACTGGAACTGGAAACCTCAGCAGTTCCACTTCTGGGGCCAAAGGAGCAGCTTCATTCTGCAGCTGCATTCCAGCCTGCATTTTGCAGTCAAGCCTTTCCAGAAGACCTATGCAGCCGAGTACTCAGCTATGGATTGAATCAATAGCTCAGTCCTCGACTGCAGAGGTCTTGCAGAACCAAACTATGGATTGAATCCATTGCTCGGTCCTCAGCTGCAGTGGCCTTCTGGAAAGTCCCGTGACTGAAAAATGCAGGCCTGGCTGTAGAAGACGCCGCAGAAGTGGCCAGTTAGAAGTCTGGCTGCAAGGTAAGTGTGGGGCAGCTCCACAGTCCCCACCCCTGCCCTAGCTTGATTTTTAAGTTTGTGTGCCTTACCCCCAAACTAAGACTTATTTTGGGGGTAGGGCTTATATTAGGCCCACCCCGAAAAATCAAGCTAGGGCTTACATTCGGGGTAGGCTGTACTTTAAGGGAAACACGGTATAATCCTAAGTGATTTGGAAGTGGGTATAATGGTGTTTATTTAGAGTTTTCAGCTAATAAATACAATAGTACTACTTTGCAGTTATATATGTCGGCAGGATCCAATCTGGATCAGTCATCCGAACCAAAGGTTTAGTCTTCCGAGCTTTCGGATTTGTGCCGGAGCCCCATCTTCAGGGAACTTCTCTCTCTAAACTAGACTAGGGAGAGGTTCCCTGAAGATGGGCTCCCGCATGAGTATGAAAGCTCGGAAGACTAAACCTCTGGTCCCGGTGGTTGACTCAGACTGGATCCTGCAGCATTATCCTGGGACACATATATTGGCCTTCCTTCATGCGTATAGGTCTATAATTTGAAGGTACTTCTGATATAAAGAAAGAAAGAGAAAGTTTGTGAATATAATTTAAACCAGTGTTTTAAGACATGTGGATTTCAACTCCCAGAATCCTTGGCTTTTGGGAGATGAAGTCCACACATCTTAAAAATGAGAAACACTAATTTAAACCATTGAGGAAACCATCTAAACTAAACTGCTTTGAGCTTTAAAAAACCTGGAAGCTCTGAGCTGCAACTTTGTACATGCTAAACTGAATTAAAAACAATTAGAGGGAGGAAGAGAGAGATAATTGCACTGTTAAACAGTTCAAAATTGTTTGAAGTGATTTTTTTTAGAGATCATATCTACATGGGATGGATAGGGATTTATATATATATAAATAAAGGAATGAAGCAGTTTTTAACATAAGTACACTTAGAATATGTTTATTAGGGAAAGTATTGTTGGAAATATATTGTCACTGCAACATATTGTTTTAGCGATCATAATGTTTTCTGATATTTTGAAAACAGAGGTGCAAAAGCTGTCTATGTCTGAATTAAACGATCTCCTAGAAGAGATTGAGGCAGCCATCAAAGACTACTCTGAGGAATTAGTGCAACAATTAGCCCTACGGGATGAATTGGAGTTTGAGAAGGAAGTAAAGAACAGCTTCATATCTGTCCTGATTGAAGTACAAAACAAGCAACGAGAACAAAAAGAAATGGCAAAGAAGAAGAAAAAGTTAAAAAATGGCACTTCTCAGAATGGAAAGCAAGAAAAAAGCCATCTGCCTGGAACAGTAAGAGCTCTGTATTGTGCCTACTTAGAAACATTGTTTACATTTTACCTTTATATAATATCTCTAATTTTGCCCAGTTATTCTTAATAATAGTTAAAATGAATAATAGTAAGTGGCATTAATGACAACAATAACATTGCCTCTTTTAGTAAATGATGGTTGGATCCCACATACTTTGATTGGCATAGAAATACTCATAATCTTCTATTTTTCTGATCATCACTAGCACTGGTGACATGTTACAAGAGTCTGAAGAACAACTACTACTTTCTCAGATGATCAGCATTGTATTTCTTACTCTGTCCAACCAAATTTGTACAAGTAGTCTTTTTATCTCTTTCGATAATTGTTACAGAATGAGGTGGAAATTCGGGAAGTGTCTGAAATGTTAGCACCTATTTTAAGTTTGGTTAACATCTGCTATTGAAATTACTATTTTTCAGTAGGGCTGTCAGAGATGTAGAATTTTTCGATACATTTAAGTAGTTGTTGATGCACAAACATACAATTTTTCCTGTCCACAGGCTATTTGAGGTTTCCACATTATTCCTCTTCTCATTAACTTCATGTCATCACCTGTGTATATAATCTCCCTGTTTTGTCTTCTCCATCCACCTTAAACAATAGAACCTGCTGGTGCTATTTATGCATATGTTAAAGTGCCTGCATAGGTCTTCCTAGGCTTATTGGCACTAGAGTATTTCCCAGAATCCACAAGAACCTTCAACAGAAGGTATTCTTGATGTTAAGGTATTTTGTGAATCAGAAAAAACTAGCTGCTGATTTCATTAAAATCTGTGTTTACCAGGTAAGCAAACATATTGTCACTAGAACAACAGGAACTTGGTAGAAATTGTGGCAACCCAATTCTCTTAGCAAATTCCCTCTGAAAAGACATTCATTACAAAGCAGAATTATATAAAAGGTTAAATGTAAACCATACTTCTTATAAATAACAAGAAGGAAAAATAACATTTATCAGTATATTGTAAAAAGTATATCATTTGAGAGACAACTAAGCTAAGCATGTATGCTGCAAATACTTTTGTTAAAGTATTTTTCTGCTGTAATTTATGTTACATAGAAATAATGTGATGTGACCTATAATTTAACCTTTTATTTGCCAAAATAATTAGGTCCAATGAATTATCAATGGAACCTAACTAATAAATGCATTAATTATCTTCTACTACACTGTCACCTAAAAATACAATTTATTCTGCAGAGCTTTAAAACTATGTACAGTTTTGAATGAATGAAAATAATCAATATAGCCCAGTTTTAAACACATATAAAGACTATAAGCTAAGCTGCATAGCAAAACAACTAGAGCATGTAAGAATAATTTAAAATCAAGGAAAATATAAAAATGCTTTGCCTGGTGCCTATAAAGTAAAGGATTGGGTGCCAGGCATTTTTTTTTTCAAAGAATGAATGTATTGTAGCTGAAAAAAAAACCCTTCTCTTACTCTAGAGCAGTGGTTCTCAACCTGTGGGTCGGGACCCCATTTGGGGTCGAATGACCATTTCATGGGGGTCGCCAAACCATGCTGTCCACCATTTTGTTCCCTTTTCCCTAGCTGTCCTACTCCCTCTTATTGGTGGCCACACTCACTTGGGGGTCACCACAACATGGGGAACTGTATTATGGGGTCACGGCATTAGAAAGGTTGAGAACCACTGCTCTAGAGGAATGTATCAGCTCAATAGCTTAATGTTCAGACACTATCTCTACAAAAGTATAAGAGTGAACAATCTGTATATAGCAGTGGTGGAGAACCTATGGCACGGGTGCCAGAGGCAGCACTCAGAGCCTCTCTGTGGGCACACGCACCATTGCCTCAGTCCTAGGCCTTCAGCTGGATTTTATAAAACCTTTTTGCTTTAGGCCTCCACCATGTGCAAAAAAAAAGGTTCAATCAATCAATTTCAACTTCTCGCGGAAAAAAAAAGATCTTGCGAAGTTGGAATTGATTGATTGAACTTTTTAGTCCCACCCAGTTTGCCGTTACCACCGTAGCCATGTCCACCCGATGGGCCACACCCACCCAATGGGCCATACCCACCCGGCACCGACGATGTATAAGTGGGTTTTGGGTTGCAGTTTGGGCACTCAGTCTCTAAAAGGTTCACCATCACTGGTATATAGTCACCCTTATAAAAATTGTTCAGAACTGAGATATATATCTTTTTCAACATAGATTTTCCTTAACATCTTAAATATTCTTATTTTAGGGAGCCATACGCTGTTTAATAATAATAATAATAAAGTTGGAAGGGACCTTGGAGTCATCGAGTCCAACCCCCTGCTCAGGCAGGAAACCCTACACCATTTCATACAAATGGCTGTCCAGTCTCTTCTTAAAGAGGATTGGACAGGATTTGACACAATAATGCTGTTATAAAAGGAACATAGCGCTAAATTCATAAATTATAACAGTAAAATTCTTGCATCAAGTAAGAGTTTATTCTGACAAAAGCTTGGCTATTTAATATCTACATAAGAAGAATATGAATGTATAAATGAATGTATCTTAAAAGCCAGTGAGAAGTTTGCAGATACTCAACAAACCCCACAATATGCAACTTCTTGGGAAGAAACTGAGCATAATCATTTCCCTGTCATTGTCACATAGTTTGTCACACAGTATCTGTTTGTTGTAATCTGTCATTGATGTCTTGCACTTTAGGATCAGGAGGTAGCAAGAGACTGCAGTATTAGCTTACAGTACTGATTAGAGTTTACCTTCAATGATTCCATTATTCATTAAAAAAAATAAGGCCATTGGCAGCATGTGATTTGTTCTCCGTTGTTCTTCTATGGGCATCATATAACACTAATTTGTGTGTAGATTATCTTGTGTACAGCAGATTGTATTTCTCACATTTCTCCCATTAAAACCTGAGATCCCCATACTGAAGACAACTGCAAAGAATGAAAGAATTAACTGATTTGTTTTGTGTACAGAAACTGAATGTAGTTCAAAACATAAGCATCCACTTTTTATAGACATTTGTTCATTTCAATACTGCAGTGTGATTTCCAGTTTCAGTTAGAATTTTCTCGTTTGTGTAGGAGAAACTTGAGAAAGCAAATACAGTCAGTTGCATGAGTAGCGGTTTGTTTTTCTGTCAAGACTTCTAGGTATAAAAGAAATAGGGATTTTTTTTTCTTAGTTTAATCAAACAAGACTAGCGTAGAGAGATCTTATGAGCCACCTCATATTGGAATAATGCCTAGTTGAAGAATGAAAGATTGACAGATTCTACAATCTCCAGATCTAGATTTATTTCAAAAAGAATATCAACTGAAAATTGAATTCTCTCTTGTGACATTTTTTGGTATTGTTCTATATTTCCCATATTCAGCTATGGGGGTAAAGAAATGCCATTTTTAATACAAATAAGACATTGGATTATTTGATCTGTGCTTGTAATGTATAAGGGGATTGGGCAAGAAGCAAAAAGCTTACAAGAGAACGTACTTTAGCATGTTCTATGTGTGTGATTTCAAATATATTTAAATATATTATTTGAAATAATAAGCATGAGCCAAAGATTATTAATGCAAAAACAACCTTGTCCTAGTTCTGTATATATGATATTTGACTGGCTCCATTCCTAAATACCTAAAGAGCAAAATATTTAAAAGTCAGTACTTTTCTCATTAAGCTACAGCTATATTTCATTCTAACATTTACCTTGCTGGCATCCCCCCCAAAAAACCTAACTAATACCTTTACATTTTTCTTTTTCCCTCCTTTTCTGTCACGTTCTCACTCCTTATAGCGCTTCAGTATGGAAGGAATCTCAAATGTCATTCAGAATGGCTTTCGACAAACGTTTGGAAACGCGGGTGGAGAAAAACAGGTGCTGGGCTACCCTCTGACTTTGTTTTCCTTGTCTGTCTTTTCTGTCTCTTTATACATTCCTGTCTTAAAAGTTGGCAGTTTCTGACTTCAGGTGTTCTTAGAAAGGGAGGAAATACATTTCTATGCTTTTTTGCATCTTCCCTGCCTTAAAGCTAAGAGCTGTTTACAAAGGTTTTCTTCCCTTAGTAGTTAAAGAAGCAGACAAGCCTTGATATGCACAGGAAAAAAAAAACAGAGTAGATGAAAAAATTCCCCTTAGGGTTTATTTTAATTTTTCAAAATAAAATGCAGGCAACAACATAATACATACTTGGAGTTAAATACCTGTCTAAGAAAGCAGTAATGAAAGATCATGTTAGCTTTAAAGTTTCAGTCTAGGAAGAGAAAAACGAACAGAACTATGCCTCGTATCTTCCAAAATGATAAAATTTATTTTGCTGTTTTTAAGTTACAAGAAGTAAAAATCCTTGACATTTCATATATGCTTTTTACGGGAAGAAAATCTCTGAACAAAATGCATGTTCCAGAAGCTTATGAAATATATGTAGCCAAGTAGTATGTTGCAGGATCCAAACTGGGTCACTTACCAGATCCTGCAACATTATCCTGGAACACATATATTTGCCTTCATTCATGGAAGTAATATGTGCAATAAAGGGCAGAACTCTTTATTTTATGCCAATACAAAGCCAGAAAAAGCCTTATTTGAATGTCTACAATTCCTCCAACATTCTTTTTTATGGTTAAGAGAGAAGGCAAATTTCATGGTTCCAGATATATTTTTCCTGATTCTTCCCATCTCCATTTACTTTGCTTATTCTTTTATCTGATGAAGAGTGTTGAAGAACCGGAAGTAAGCCCAATAAAATAAAAGTATTGCTCTTATGTGGACCATGGATGATGATAAGAAATATGAAAAACATATTTTACCATAAGTTATTTTATTACACAAAATTTAATACAATGTTACAAGTGATTTGCTAGAGTACGATGTTGAGCAAATACATAAACTGTAGAGCAGTGGTAGCGAACCTATGGCATGGGTGCCAGAGGTGGCACTCAGAGCACTCTCTGTGGGCACGTGCACCGTCACCCCAATCCTAGGCCTTCAGCTGGGTTTTATAAAACCTTTTCACTTTAGGCCTCTGCCACCGTGTGCAAAAAAAAAAAAAAAAGGTTCAATCAATCAGTCAATGTCAACCTCTCGCAGGAAAAAAAAAGAACTTGCAAAGTTGGAATTGATTGATTGAACTTTTTAGTCCCACCCAGTCTGCCATTACTACCGCAGCCACGCCTACCTAATAGGCCACACCCAGCCAATGGGCCACACCCAGCCAATGGGCCACACTCACCCGGCACCCGACAATGCATAAGTGGGTTTTGAGTTGCAGTTTGGGCACTCAGTCTCTAAAAGGTTTGCCATCACTGCTGTAGAGAATGTTGATAAAATCTTGCACAAATTGACACTTAATTTATGTTTTATATGTACATGGTTTTGATTGGTTTTCATATGGGAGTATTATTTCCAGATTACAGGTAACTTTGGAGTTTTTTATATAGTTTTTTCAGAGACAAATAATTTTTCAGCTATTCACTATTTCCAAAACAGAACAATAAATATAGATTCTGCATTTGCATTCACATGGAGACCATGTGTAAATAATAAAGATGGTACGGGTTTGACTCATCTTAAGGCAACATTTAATACATCTATTTCATACTTTGAAACTACTGATTTTTAAGGATTTTGGAGTTGTTAGATATTTTCTCCCTTAGAAGACTAATAATGTCTATGTCAGGATCTGAAGTTATATAACTGTTGATAGAATAGAATTCTTGAAGGTAAGTAAGCCCTATAAATTATAGCCAGCCTTAGAAATTAAGGCTATTTAATTAGCTATTCAATCAATTATGTAGACCATAAGGAGTGCCTTCCCTGTTCTTTCAAGGAAGCAGAAGCAGTACCCTGCCACTCCTATAGAACTAAAGAAAAGAGGTAACTAAAGAAAAGCAAGTAACATTGCTTGCCATAAGCTAAGTGCTCTATGGACAATTTTCTAAAAATTAAGGCTTACTCCAGTACCCTGATAGTCCTCAATAGAACCTAAATGTAGCACAAGGGAAGCCACTCAATTTTTTTTCTTTCTTCTCAATAGTATTTTTTGTTTCAAAATTCAATCTTTATTATTATTTGTTTTTCTAGCAACTCTCTCTTTTTTTTCAGTGTAGAAAGGATATTAGAGATTTGGGGAAGAGGCTGGAGGAACTAACATAGAGAGAAAAAGAAGATGGCACAGAACAACTGGAGACATAAAACAATTTTTTTAAAAAAAAAAATCCTTGACCTGTTGTGGTCTGATTTATTCTTTTATAAACCAAAATATCCTATTTTTCGTTCTAAAAATGTACCAGCCATGAGAATGAAGTGGCACGATCATGGAAACTTAGAGATTGAAAGGAAGGGAACATAGTATTGCACCAAAGTATAATTGAGAATGATGCTATCTTTCACCCATGCCAGTGATTTACATACGCTATAAGAGAGATTGGGGGGGGGGGGAATACCTGCCTGTGTCATTCAGAACTAGATAATGAGCCATGGTGGTGCAGTGGTTAGAATACAGTACTGTGGGCTACTTCTGCTGACTGCCGGCTGCCAGCATTTCGGCAGTTCGATTCTCACCAGCTCAAGGTTGACTCAGCCTTCCATCCTTCCAAGGTCGGTAAAATGAGGACCCAGATTGTTGGGGGCAATGTGCTGACTCTGTAAACCGCTTAGAGAGAGCTGAAAAGCACTGTGAAACAGTATATAAATCTAAGTGCTATTGCTAGGGAATAGATTATCTACTCTGCGTCTCTTTATCTTGCAGCTGTGTGCTGTACTAAACTCTAGTCTCTTAGCTTTCTTGCTTACCAAGGATAAAAGCCCGTTCTTATTACAGTATTACTTTTTTAATCTTAGGCTATTGGTGCAATACACAGGATCTCAATAAAGGAGAATATTTGTAGCTCGGTAAAAACGAGGGGTCTTTAATGCTCTCCAAACTTGGTTGTTTTCTTGCAGACATTTCATTATCCAAACTAAGTAACATCATCAGTGCTAGTCTCTGATAGATTAAGATTTAGATTTATATTTAGATCGGTACTAGAGTAGCACTGATGATGTTACCTAGTTTGGGTAATGAAACATCTGCAAGAAAACAAGCTCTGAGAGCACCAAGGACCCCTCATATATAGGATAGGATAGGATAGAAATAGAAATAATAAGAATAGAGTAGAGCTGGTAGGAACCATGGAGGTCTTCTAGTCCAGCCCCCTGCTCAAGCAGGAGAACCTATATCATCTCAGACAAGTGACTGTCTAGCCTCTTTTTAAAAATCTTCAGTGATGGAGCGCCCACGATTTTTGGGGGCAAGCTGTTCCACTTGTTAATTGTCCTCACTGTCAGGAAGTTTCTCCTTAATTCCAAGTTGCTTCTCTCTTTGATAAGTTTCCAACCATTGTTTCTTGTCCTGCCCTCTGGAGCTTTGGTGAATAATGTGACCCCCTCTTCTTTGTGGCAGCCCCCAAATACTGGAATACTGCTATCATGTCTCCCCTATTTCTTCTTTTCTTTGGACTAGCCAAACCCAAATCCTGCAGCCGTTTTCGTATGTTTTAGTTTCCAGACCTCTGATCATCTTAGTTGCTTTTCTCTGAATTTTTTCCAGACTCTCAACATCTTTTTTGTGATATGGTGACCAAAACTGGCTGCAGTATTCCTGGTGTGGTTTTACTAGGGTTTTATAAAGCGGTACTTATACCTCGTGTGATCTTGATTCTATGCCTCTGTTTATACAGCCCAGGATTGTATTAGCTTTTTTGGCTGCTGCTGCACACTGCTGGTTCATGTTAAGTGATCATCCATTAGGATGCCAAGGTCCCTCTCACAGTTATTGTTTTTAAGCCAGGTCTTGCCCAATCTGTACTTGTACTTTTGATTTTTCCTGCCTAAATGTAAAACTTTGCTTTTCTCCACATTGAAACTCATTTTGTTGTATAGGCCCATTGTTCAAGTTTATCAAGCTCTTTTTGGATCCTGAGTTTATCTTCTGGGGTGTTGACTACTCCTGCCAGTTTGGTGTCATCTACAAATTTGATGGGTTCCCCTTCAATTCCCTCATCTAAGTCATTGATGAAGATGTTGAAGAGTACTGGGCCTAAGACGGACCCTTGTGTACCTCACTGCTTACTTCTCTCCATGTGGATGTAGTGCCATTGAGGACTACTCATTGCGTACAGTTTGCCAACCAGCTACAGATCCATTTGGTGGTAATATTGTCTATTCCAGTTTTTTCTAGCTTACCAAGGAGTAGGTTGTGGTCTACTTTGTCAAATGTCTTACTGAAGTCTAAATATACTACCTCCACAGTATTTCGCTGGTCTATTAGTTTAGTCACTTTGTCGAAGAATGAAATAAGATTGGTTTGGCATGCTCTGTTTTTAACAAACCCATGCTGGCTACTAGTTATAACTTTGTTTGCTTCTAGTTGTTCGCAGATCTGTTTTTTTGATTATCTTTTCTAGGATCTTCCCAGGTATTGATGTTAAGCTGATTGGTCTGTAGTTTCCTGGGTCCATTTTTTTCCTTTCTTGAAAATGGAAACCACATCAGCCCTTTTCCAATCTTCAGGTACTTCCCCAATGCTCCAGGATTTTTGAAAGATGTGGTGCAATGGGTCTGAGATAACATCTGCTAGCTCCTTCGGAACTCTGGGATGTAATCTGTCAGGCCCTGGTGATTTATATTCACAAGATCAGACAGGTGTTCTCTTACCATTTTCTTGCTTATTTTAATTTTTGTTTCTAATTTGTCTTTTGCAGTGTTTTTTTTAGTATGTTGGGCTATAATTTCTTTTTGTGTGAAGACTGATGCAAAGTATGAGTTAAGCAACTCTGCTTTCTCCCTGTTCCCTGGTATTTCTTTGCCATCTTCTCTCTTTAGTGGGCCTATTGTTTCCTTGATTTTTTTTTCTTGTTGTTAATATGTTGGAAGAAACTTTTTTATTATCTATGATTTCTGTTGCAAGTCTTTGTTCGTTCTGAGCCTTTGCTTTCCTGACTTCATCTTTGCATGTTCTGGCTGTCTGCTGATAATCTGCCTTAGTTATGTGCCCCTCTTTCCATTTTTTGTATTTGTCCTTTTTGTCTTTCAGTTTGTCAGAGAGATCTTTGTGCAGCCATGCTGGTTTCTTCTTGAATTTCTTGTTTTTCTTTTTCTTTTCAGTGGTATTGTGCTGGTCTAGTCTTTTATGATCACAATTTTCAGAGTTCCCCATGCTTCTTGGGTTGTTTTCCCCTTTAGGATTTTTATCCATCTTTCCTAGGTTCTCTCTAAGTTTGTTAAATCATCTCTTTTGAAGTTCAAGACACAAGTTGGATTGTTTTCTGTTGCTAGTGTTTGTGTTATATTAAATTCCAGTATGACGCGGTCACTTTCACCCAAAGTTCCGGTAAGTTCAACTCCCTCTATCTAGATAGTTGAAGTCTCCCATTACTACTGTGGTATGCTGCCTACATACATTTGTTAACTGGTTGGCAAAGAGTTCATCTATTTCTTCTGATTGGTTGGGTGGCCTGTAATATATACCTATGGTAATGTCACTTTTTTTCTCTTTTATATTGACCCATATACATTCTGGAGAGATTTTATCTTGGATCATGCATTCTCTTACATATAGTGCAACTCCTGCTCCTCTTTTTGTAGACCTGAACAATTTGTATCCACCCATCAGTCCATTCCATTCATGGGTTTCGTCCCACCAGGTTTCTGTAATGCCAACTATATCATCTTATCTTCCTACTACATGTGCTGGGCAACCTTTGAACCTCTGATATACCTTAAGGAATATATGAGACTAAGAAAGCATGGGATCTACTGAGTCCAGACAGTTCCCAAGGAACTTGAAGGATAAGTTGAAAGATTCATGTTCCACCTTGTAGAAAGGTTACCAGCCTCTCCATTATAGCCCGGTATAAAAGATACATTCCAGTGACTATGTTAAAATTTAAGTGGACTATCGAGAAATCATTCCTCAATTCACATTAACATTGTGCATGTATCAGTATCAATTTGAAAGTGGTACATAAATGAGCATTGAAATCTTAACTTTTTAATCCTTCAACAGTACATTAACTATGTGACCTGAAGATACACTTATTATACCAATTACAGTCTTGATTATTATTTGTGCTAACTTACTAGTTCCCTATCTAGTAAAGAGATGTTCAGCTGCATTTTGTCCTTAGTATAAAACATATGAATCTATCAGAGTAAGATATCCTGTTTAAGGAAGGGGCTTCAAACACAAATGTGTCTGATAACTATGCATAACATTATGTTATTAGTTTGATTTATATCTGTGGATTGAATTAGGTTCATAAGTAAATGTATAGTTAATGTATAGTAATTTCATGTTAGTATAAAACTGCTTTTCCTGATCCTGTTTTTGGATTATCCTCTCAATGTACTAGTGTGTACCTCATTACTATTCAATGCCAGAATATAATTTCTAAGAAATAAACCACACACAAGAAATCCAGACCATGGAAATGCCCTTCATTTTGAAAGAAAAAAATACTACCCTATTTTTTCAAAAATATTGAATTGTTATTACCGAAGATCTGTGTTTTTCCTATAAATAATTTTAGAAATAGTAATCCTATACAGTATTGTCCAATCTTAGAACAAAAATACCTTCTTTGTATTGAAATCTTTGTATTGAAATCTTTGTATTGAAATCTGTTGCTGAATCAAGGCTATATGATGGCTCTAAGGTTTTACAAAAAGTAGCAAATGCAACTTTTTAATTATAAGTGTTGAGGAATGAAGCTTTGGAAAGGACACATTTCTTGAGGTTTTTAAATATTTAAAGTTGACGATATAATTTGCTCTAAATTGAGAGTTTATATCCTTAATACTGTAGATAAGAGAAGAAAAATATCAAAGATATGGAAACAAAATATTGTTCAAAATAAAAATTTAAAACTAAATGGCGCTTATTTCTATACCAGTAAAAGCAGATACAGTATAATTTCAAGGAATCACATAAGTCTGTATAAAATCGGTGGAAGAAGTAACAGCTAAGCTCAACTTCATGGCATTCCACTGTTGCTGCTAGGTACATCTACCTCTGAGCATAAATTGACTATCTTGCCAGGTGCACTGTCAGAGTTCACCAGAGGGAGTTATGAAGTCAGAATATAACATTTCCTATCACTGCCAGGGAATGACCAAAAATGGTTTGATTCCAGCCCCAAAACTTTAAGACCAGAGTTGACAGACATGATTTCACTGTCCTGGCATGTATAGTGTTTATTCTTTGCTAATAACTATAATGCATTGAGCTTTTCTAGAGTTCATTAAACATCATTTTATGGAGTCTTAAGAATCTTCTGTTGTTGTACTTAAAAGAAGTTTTCATTTATATTTTGGCTGTACAGAATACCTAATGTAAAAATGTACTTATGTATGGAATCATACGACTGTTCTTTACAATGCAGCAAATTTCTTAAAAAGAATGTGTGATTTAGAAGCTCAATACAACATGTATATACTATATAAGAACATTTTTAAAGTATCAGTTTTATTATAGGGCGGCTATTTTGTTGTTACTTGCTGGGACATCTTTTAGTTGAATCACTGTGTTTCAGTTTTTCTTAGATAACATACAATAGAGTTGAATAACACATAATTATGTATTGCAGACCATACTTACATGCAAGAACTGTATCTAATATTGCCAATGTCATATTTTTAGCAACTAAAGCCAATCAGGAAAATATTTTGTAGTAATCATAACTTTTGTTTAACAGTATCTGACAACTGTTATTCCTTATGAAAAGAAAAATGGACCTCCGTCAGTTGAAGATCTTCAAACATTAACAAAAAGTAAGCACATAAATATGATTTGTTAGAGAAATAAATTTCCATGTTTTGATGCTGAGAAAAAAAACCAGTTGATTTTCCAGGGTATCTTCAGTTAAAGATTATTCTTGAGGGTCATCATCTCAGTGGTTCTGTTCTAAATTAGCCTGGCAAATCAACTTTGTTCTGCAATGTTTGGAATTGGTCCACGGTCTATGCTTGTTTAGTCTTCCTAGATATCCTACAATTAGCCATCATTCCTAGGTTTTGACTTTTTTTGGAAGATTATTTTCATTTATCTCTTTCAGTAAAATCAGCATTGTTTTGCCTTGCGAAATTAACTGCTTTACAAGAGTGCCGAGACACTAACTAGAAGAGAATAAGCCTGAAAGTGCCTCTTTGTTGTGAATTAAGTTAAAATGATATGGTTTGAAGAACGAACACTGTTGTTATCCACCGACTTGCTGAAATTTGATCTGTTGGCTGCTCAGGGACAGACTACCTGACTCTCTTCCTGCTAATGCTGTTGTATGACAGCACTCAAACCATTTATTTTAGAGCAGCAAAACTGTTCAAACCTGGATATTATTTCAATTCCAAAGAGTAAATAGATTTTGTATGACATTTATGTGTGCTCATAATTACATATTTGGAATATGCTCTTTTCAGAAAGATTATAAATTATTTCAGTTCCTTATATAATGAGCCTTTAGGTACAAAAATACTTTTCCATTCTTCCTCTGTAAGACAGAAGCTATAGCTTTTGGTTTTTCTCTGTCAGTAGCTCATCTTTCTTTTGGGTAAATATAGCAATGATCTTAAAAAAATGAAGATACAAAACAAGTTTCCCTAAATTTTACAGGTTCCCTTTATTGTAAAGTTGTTATCCTCTTGTAGATGGGGTGGGTGGGGAGAATGAGAAATGGAGATACGAAAAGCCAGGAGAAAATTGCTGTGCTTCCAGACTTTTCCATGTCTCCTTAGCAAGAGGAATGGAAAAATAAAAGAAACATGCTTCTATTTTTTTTATACTGTCTTCCTTCACAATTTGTGTAGTTGTTCAGCACTCTGTGACAATGACACTCATTCCGGTTCCAGATCAACAAGGAAAAAACTTTTTTTTCTGTATCATTTTTTTCCAGAAACGTATGTTGGGGAAAACATTGGGTGCATTGTTTTAATTCCCAGATCATCACATCCTACCAAAAATGGAAAGTTCTTAATACAATAGAAATAGTTTGAGTTCATGGGATTCATAGGAATAATCCATCTTTTAAACAAATCTGAATGCATAACAGAGCTATGCCTACTTAGTATTTTCATATCTTTCTTCCTTTAATAAATAATGAGAAAAGGATCTGTAGAATAACCTGCAACATTATCCTGGAACACTTATATTCGCCTTCATTCGTTAGTTTTTTTTCCTATTTGTATGTTTTATTGAAAGGCAGTGAATTCTATTGATCCACACCCTCATATTTTATAGTTCTTCAGGCCATGAAAGAAGACAGTGAGAAAGTGCCAAGCTTATTAACAGACTACATTTTGAAAGGTGAGTTTACCTATTATTGCATGTTGCATCATTGTGGCTTTCTATAAATAGAACCTTTGGGGTGTTGTAATCACGAACAAAATCAGTGATGCTACTTTGGAAGTGTAGAGCACTTTAGAACATGGAAATTGGGCTGAAGAGATAGAGACATTCTAGAGATCATAGATCTCCTTAATACTCAGAAAGATCAGCAGAACCATTCTGAAGAAACCAATTCAGTCTGAAAATTAATTGCTTTTCTGAAATTCATAAAACATGCTGGGGATTAATTGAGCTGTTTGCTAAGCAGCCCAAAAGACATGAAAGACACAGAAAGATCAAGGCATTCTGAAAAATCTTAGGCAATAGAATGGTGGTGGGTAAGGAGAACAAACATAAGACAGAATTCCTCCCATATCAAGTCTAGAGGGATTAGACACATCGAGCTAAAAGTTCCCCAGGCCAGATTTGGTCTTTCCCTTGCTCCCATGGTCCCGTTGCTTTCCCTTGCATTAAAAGAACAATCCAGTATTCTTTATGGCTCTTCCTCCTACTGTACTTAAATGTTAAAATACATAAGCAGAGAAGGCTCTGAGTAAACTCAATTCATATTTTTAAGAGGTTAAAATATATCTTTGTTTTATCGAAATCAAAATTATGTATCAGTCAATCAGTACATGTATATTTAAGAAACTGAAGTTATTACTAAACATTTTTTACTAACTTGTGGGTTCTTTATTTGACTTATAGCCTGCATTTTTGTGTGTAACATTGTGAAGATTTTTAAAATGAAGAGAGCCCCACATTATCTTATTTTGTTGTTAGAAAATCAGTGTAATGCTGTGAACATGAGTATTGTGATATTGATGATGAATATTTTTGAGTTAATTCCATATAGCAATGTAAATGTAAAATGTATAAACCTCTGCATGTTGGAATTCAAAAGGCGATAATAGATTCCACCTCCTGGAATTTTACAAAGAATTATAGACATTTGGGGTAGGTGGTATTGTTTTCGCCAAAATTAGGAACTGAATTCTCTTGACTGTCTACTGGTCTACATTAGTTTTGTTGTTTAATCCTTACCTTGTTATCAGTAGCATTGTAGAATTAATAAAAAAATTCTGGAATTTTTACAAAATGCTTTTATGCTATAGAAACATGTTATAGTATGCTCCGGATTATCTTCAGTAATCTGCAATAAGAATAGAATATATAGAGAAGTAGCACCCAAAATGTAACTATCACTGAAATACAGTTTAAAAGGATAATTTGCTGACATAATTATATTTATTCTTTTTTCTTGAAAACAACTAACATTGTAAAAATAAGTATGAGATAATTAGAGTCAGTTTAGAAATCTTCAACATAAGGTTTGTACAATGACTACAGTAAAGATCTTCAAAGTTCCTTGGCTTCTCCGTTGACTATAATAATAAGATTCACTAGGACTGTAATATTATAGAGAAAAAATTAATCTGGTTATTATTTTGATTTATTACTGATATTTATGATTACATGGAAGAGCACATTGCAGAGTGCAGCATCACCATAGGGAAAATTTGGATAACCGCAAGATCCACTCTGCCAGTCTCAATTAAAGAAACAGGTCCTTCCATGTAGACAGTCACTACATCACAACCATAATTCACATGCTGAAGCAAATTGTACTTTTTTTTTCATAGTGGCTTTCTTCCATGGTAAAAATAACATTTGACATGGGCCATCTCCCCCACTCCATTTCTTTTAGAAGAAAAATACTTATTTTACCAGTCTCTAGATATGCTTCCCAACATAGAAAGCTTGAAAGTGTGGGTTATCAAACTTTTTGCAGACAAGAGCATGCAGAGGTCAACAGAATAACAATGAGGTAGTTTTCATAATTAAATCTGAATAGGAAGGGGGAAAGTTGAGAATAAAGAGATGGTGGGAAGGATAGATTATACAAAAAAGCAGCCCTCTCCTCTGTAATAAACAGCAATGGCAATAGCACTCAGCCTTAAATATCGCTTCATAGTGCTTTACAGCCCTCTCTAAGCAGTTTACAGAGTCAGCATATGCCCCCAACAATCTGGGTCTTCATTTTACTGACCTTGGAAGGCTGAGTCAACCTTGAGCTGGTAAAAATCGAACTGCTGGCAGTCAGCAGAATTAGCCTGCAATACTGCATTCTAACTATTGCGCTACCATAAAAATGTTTGACATACAGATGATTGTCTCACATATTGTAATGCGTAACATTGTTCATTAAATAAATATGAGTAGCCAACTTTCAGGATTAAAGCAAACCTTGGTAGCCAATTTCTACATGGACAAACACTTTCCTTTTTAATGTGTACTAGTGTGCTCACAGTAAAAAAATGGCAATAAAGGTTATCTTATAACTTGAGAGGATGTGTTATCAGTTTATCTATTTATATTTTTGCTCTTAGATACTTAAACTGTAGCATTACAAGTCATAATTATTATGCACTATGAAGACAGTTGTTTAAAGTTTAAACCAATGATGAAAGATTGTTCCCAATGACAAGGACACCTTTGTAATTTTGGGTTATGACATTTTAAACCTGATTTCTTCGTTTGTTTTATATTGTGCTAGCATTGGTTTGAAAGCTACATTGCTCCAAGGTTTGTGCCTTATAGATGTGATAAAGGAGTATATAAAGGACATGTCTTGATCCTCTCTGTATTTTATCAATATCCTGGGCAAGAGATTACAGTTGTCCCTAAATCTTTGAGATGTCATATCTCAAAGCTCTCTCCACAGTTTCTGAAAATTGGGGACTAAAGCTAAATTTTAATGTTCTTAAATTTAAAAATTTAACCCAGTGACCAAGACATGACTTACTATATAGCTCATTTCTGTAAAAAAAAAAAAAAATGATAGTAGTGTGTGTGTACATATTATGTATATATCTTTATGGATTTATCTGTTTTGTTTATGTGGTAAGGGTTGGGAATCATATTTAGTACAGATAATTATTGCAACTTTGATTCTGGAAGGTTTGCTGTTATATTCTAGAAACCGAATCAATTTAATGACACTTATATGTAACTTTATTTTGCAGTTTTGTGTCCTACGTGAAGTGACCTACGGGGAAAAAAAAACAGCCAGGCGAATTCCTGTGAACAATATTTTTTCACGGATTCTTTCAGACCTGACAGTTCGTTTGCACTGCGTTGAATTCTAATGTACTTGTTACTTTCATTGCCTGCTTCCGTTTTTGAATTCTGGAATAAAGTCATCCAGATCATGTAAAATTCATCCTTTCCCCCACCCAAGTATAAATTGCTTGAACAAATAATGAATTCTGTACAGCTTTACTCACATGCATTGTTTGGGCTTTTTAAAGACTATTTTTACATTATATGGCATGTAATTATTTCACCCAGCACCTATTTGTGGTTGTGGAGGAAAAAATAACATCAGTATAAATCAGTGTTTCCCAAACTTGACAATTTTAAGGCATGTGGACTTCAACTCCCAGAATTCCACAGCCAGCAACGCTGGCTGTGGAATTCTGGGAGTTGAAGTCCTCATGCCTTAAAATTGTCAAGTTTGGGAAACACTGGTATAAATAAAAGATGCCTATTAAACATAATGCACTTCTAATAAAAGCTGCAGCAGGTCCAAGTATTAAATGTATAAAATGGATCAAAAGCTGAGCCTGCACTGCAAAATTCCATTGAAGTTCTTCCTTGAAGGCTCTGGAATGAAGATGTTGATAGAAACAGGAACTGACTTTTAAAGTAAGAATAAAGGCAGTATTGTAATATTGATTACTGATTCATATTACTTTGAATAACCCTCTTGGAAGTAAAAAGTGGTAGATTATAATTTCCCATCATTGGTTGGCTGTTTGTTTGTTTTTTTCAAAGCCTAATGATGGCATAGAAGGAAAGTGTTCTAATAAAGAACACCCTCGATTTGTGTAGGATGTATTGTGCCCCGAAATCATTGTCTCATTATTTTCATTTTCTGTAGTTTAATTTAAAACTAATGTAGTTTAATAATAGTGTTGCTGCTATTGTACTTTTAACCCATATTAAATGTTTGGTTATCGTATCTTATTTTGTATGCTTCGATGTGTTAATGAACAATTTTAGAACATTTCTGTTCAGCTGTCTTATTTACTGTAAGTAGTGGTAGTGCAAACAAGAAACACAACAGCTGTGTCTTTATGGTAAGGTTATATTAATAGAATCCTGCAAGACTAAAAGTATTTCTCCCCTACTTTCCTTTTACTCCCTGGAAAACTAGGGCAGGTCTCTTCCACAACATTTTCTTTCTATGGCTAAGATATCCTTCACGTGTCAGTTGTCTATTCAATGGCTCTCTCGGTTACATTTAGTTATCATAACTTGCTTGCCCAAATGCATCTCTTTCTAACAGTAAGATGTGTACAACAGCAGAACCAGCTATCAGTGGAGGTTATGGATTGAAGGGTTATATCAATCCTCAATCAGATGTTAAAATATTGTTGTAAAATTTAATGTTTTCTTCCTGACAAAATGCACAAGGACATTCCTTGGAACGTTCTTAATTTTTCAAAATGTGTATTGATCCTTGAGGTTTTACCAATCTCTCAATCAATATCATCTTTCTCCCAATCCATATAAATCCCACCAGAGAGTTAATTATTTTTTCTCTAATATCATGTGCATGTTCTGGTGGAATTGGTCTCAATCTTAAACAAAATTCTTTTTCCCTAAGTACCAATAATGTCAAATTTCTATCTCTCCATTTATAATTTATGTCATACATTCAAACACTTTATCAGTAATTTTATCAGTAATTTGCAGCCAGATTCTTCAATTCTCTTAACTTCTTCTTTCATATCTTTTTTTTTGCAGACCCTTCTTCCATTTCCTTTTTAACTGTTGCAAGCAATCTGTTGCATATATAAATGATCAGCCTTCCGTAAAGATCTGGTCTGTTAGTCTAATTAAGCTTACTGTTTCAGAGACATATTTGTCAAAAAAAATATTTTCCTCTATTTTTTAAAATCTCTATCTTTTTGCCATTTGAAACTTTCTAATACCACAAACTTGTCAACTTTCTAAAGTCCTTTAAAATAGTTTATTTTCCCCTCTTCTTAATTTCAAAAAGAAGACACTCATATATTTTTTAATCTTCTCTGCTGTTCGGAATATCTTGCTTAGGTTGCAGGCAATTAGGTTACTGGCAAAATGAAGCTTTTCCCAGTAAAAGGTCTACTTAAAAAAAAGGTCCCTCATTCTCTTGGCCTTTCGGAACTGTCTGAAGACCCGATTCTGCCATCTCAGAGGAACACAAAATGTGAGTCTCGGGTATATTCATATTTAAAACTAGAAACACGGATCACCAAGACTGAAAATTTTATTAAAACTGAGCTTTCGTCAGCGCCTGCTGACATCGTCAGAATTTAAGCCAGGGTTGGAGAACAAGTTCTTATAGTCTCTGTGAAGCCTGTAGTTTAGCTAATGAGCGTGTTACGGGTCTATTTGGTCCCCGCCCTCCCGTAATCCGGGTTTGCTGACATCTGAGTTTTGGCACTCTGCTTCTCTCCACTCGCCCCGCTCACTGGGAGCAATCGTCCTGCCGCGTGCAATCATCTCGCTGCTCCTCTGACATTTCTGTCTGCGCTGCTGTCCTCTCAGCCAGTATTTCCTCTCTAATGCTAGCATTGCTATCCACATTGGTCAATTGTCCTCTCCTGCTATCCATGGGTCCGGTCTGCCCCCTCATTATCTCTTGCTGTGATGATGTATCCATCGATGAGACGTTGCGATCCTCTATTCTCTTGTGTGTGCAGGGGAGGGGTGGTTGTTGTTGGTTCATCCTCATTGTCTCTTGCATCGTCACAGCAATGTGTATAGCGATGCTATCATTATGTTTTATGTTTTTATGTCTATTTGTATATCACCCAGAGATCACAGCACAGCAGTCACACACAAATAAATTCCTACTTTTTTTTTTAAGAGGAACAGCTCTTCCAGAGTGCAAATGGATAATCTCCTGGTTTCTTCTTCCTTCAGATAAATTTTCTGTAACCCAGAAATGGGTCCTAGCTGGCAATTCCATCACTGTGTGTGTCTGCAGAGCCATTTGCAGAAACGTCTAACTGGCCATATACCTCACACAGAATCACCAGTTTTGAAGGATTTTAAGAAGACATTGGACAGCTACCTCTTATGGATGGTTTAATTGGTCTTTATGTGCTTAATGAAAAACAGGACTGGATAATCCTTGTGGTCCCTTCCAACTCCACAATTCTATGATGAGTTTTGGATGGAAAACCCTGTATGAGTTACCTCATCAGCACTTTCTTATGATTGAACTTTTACAAAGTTCTGTAATAATTCCATTAGAATTTCTATTCTGTTATCATTGTAACAGCAATGTTGAGGAATACCTAGGGTTAGCTGCCCAATATGGCAGAACTTTCTCTCCGATCAAATACTACTAAAAGAGGAGTTGGCAGAATCTCAAAGATGGATCTGATTGCTTTTGTACATATGCATAGGTACTAGAATTGTTATTTACTTCGTGCTGAGATGAAGACAAAACAGAAATGGCCACTAAGGGATTTGTGACAAAACAGCAGTAGTAGCTAAGGTTAGTTTGAATGGAATTGAGGTCTAATTCCCGAAACACATTCTAAGAGCTATATAGCTATCTGTCAATCTTCCCATAATTAAATGTAAAAGAAGGAAATGCAAGGGCTTTTCAAAGACAATAAAAATGATGAGAACTCAAAGTAAGCAATTCTGGAAATTGCCACTCAATATCTGTTTCCAGATGGAGGCTTTGTGTACAAAAGGTTAGAAGGTGATTGTGCAGGATATTGATGAAGGAGGTAATAAAAAGAGAAAATTGAGTTTTAACTCACCTTATAAAAAAGCTGTGAAGTAGCAGAAGTAAACCAAAATGTTTCTCATCCAGTGTCGATGGAGATTCTCAGTGATCCAGGTCATAGTTACCCCAAAGGTGCTTTTTCATGAGGCAACTGGACTTTCTTGTTTTTCTTTGAAGACGTTTTGTTTCTCATCCAAGAAGCTTCTTTAGCTCTACTGGATGGTGGGGAATGGAAGGATGCATTCTTTTAGACTAGAGTGTCATTGAGACCTCTTGCAGGTTTGTCTGTGACCTCAGGGTCACCTGAGTAGTACAAGTAGTGGAACCTTATTGGAACTGCTAAAAGGACTGTCATGGAGATGTCCAGTTGCCTTGTGAAAAAGCACCTATGTCTTATTAAGGAATGAGACATATAAAGCAACTGAGTATTTTTCAGAATTTGGATAACATCTTTAGCAGCCAGTGAAGACACTGAAGGAGATTGTGACAAGAAAAACACCAATAATGCAGAAAACCTTGATCAAATTTGAAAAGATTTGCAACTGTCCTCAGTAATTAATCACATCGAAGGAAGACACACCAAACCAAAAATAAAGAGCAAGAAAACTAGAACTTCTGTTTCATAAATGACCTCTGTACTTAATAAGAAAATCCTGTAATATAATGTGCTATGTACTTTAATGAATTCTTAATTATGGTGTTCCTTTGTAAGCAATTTTGCTCCAATTTGAAAAGTCCCTTAAACAAAGGTCATATATTACACCCAAAGTAAAATAAGAGCAGAATGAGCTAGATGCGTGTGCAAAAAGAGAAATTTTCCTCTCCAATTTCTTAATTTGATTTCAAAATAGTCTTGAGGTTATGCAATATTCTCTAGACCCATTTCAGTCCAGTACTATTAGCTTCCATGCTTTTTCTTACAAATAAGATTTTGATTACAAACTGACATTTTTTTTAGGAAGGGCAATTATATGGTAATAAACAACAATGCTCGCTTCACACAAAAGAAAGATGCATCTGAAATTGTTTTCTTTCTTAGTGTAATCCCAGGTGAAATCCAAGGATATTAAAGATAACTACTAATTCCAGACATCAAAAAATAAATTGATCTACTCCTGTAATCTCAATATTAGAAACAAAATATTTACTATTACCTAGTCCATAAACTGTTCAGAAAAGTTTTATTACCTTAATTTGATAAGCATAGGTAAAACAGAAACAAGGTAGTAACTGCAGGCTGAACATCCCTTAAGAATATAGCAATAAGCCACGTTCTGAGCTGCTCTGCCCATCTGTTTTCTCGCATAGGACGCATTGTAGATTTATTTTTTCTTTCTGAATTTTTCTGGCAGCTCCACCCAACAGATGTAATAAATGCTTCTTTTTCAGCCCCAAATTGAGTCCAGTTCTGTTATTGACATACAAGAGTCCCAATCTGGAAAAAAAAAATATCCCATCAACTGTTTTATAAGAACAATTCTTGTAACATATGAACAAAGTACATTCTTTGTCAGAAAAGCTCATATGGCCATTTAATTTTCCTCCTCCACACTGTTGGAACTATTTCCTTGCTTCTGTAACTATTTTTTCACATCCCGAACAATAACATTTCCCCAGTGACTTAAGAAAGAAGCCCTGCTACCATGCTTGCTTCATTGCTTTCACCAATCTAGAAAACAAATTACCCTTGAATTTGTCCAGAATTTGAAGAAATGAAATGTTTATTCAGACACACCTTAAAGATAACCCCTGTGAGATCACTCAGTTTTGGCTAAACACAGAACAAGATAGGGCCATTATTTTAAAGTCCTTCTCAGCAAAAGAAACCAAAAGATGCATCTCTAATAGATTGTTGTCCACCAGCCTCTGAACATTGCTAGGAAAAAAAAGGGTAACCAACACAGATCACTTATTTCCCTTGCAAACTGCTCTTATGATTAAGATATTTTCTGTAACATTCCATTGGAAAATATATTTTAAGCCAGTCATTTCATTTTCTGCAAGATCATAAGAACAGACCTCGGTCATTTTCTATATGATAACCTTTCAGATTCCCCAAATAACAGTATTTTTCCCCCTCAAGGCTAAATATACTGTGTTCCTCAGTCTCTCTTCACAAGATTTCATTTCTAAGTCATCTTTAGTTAATTTAGCTCAATCTTTCTTTAAAATGGTGCTTGAAAATAGGGCTCTTGAGATGGTTCTTGAGACCGTTAAAACTCTGGATTTGAAA